GTTGTCTGACAGTGGGGAGAACAGAGTTAAACTGTTAGTTTAACAAGTGCTGCTGCTTTCTCTCTGAAGGAGGAGCAGTGATTCCTCTGCACAGGAGGGATCAGCCTCTCCCAAAAGGCAGACAGGGTAATGCTGTTAGTTAGGAGCAAGAAATGCTCATCCCGTGTTTGGAGAAGCTACTCAGAGCAATGTGTGACACCCTAAACCAACAGGATGAGCACATCTCAATCCTACTGAGCCCTACAAGCACATGGGGGCAGAGCTTCACCCATCCTATTTTATTGGATCCAATGTGTCAGAGGCTTTGTTTTCACCATGGCCAGCAAAACCTCTGGACAGACGTGTCTGCACAAACAGGTGCCAGCATTTGGTTTCTCATCCCCATCTGACAGTGAGGCAGAGGGACTGGGAGCCGTGCTCTGTGTGCCCAGGAGTGGCACTCGGGCTGGGTGGCACAAACAAGAAAGGATTCCCAGACTCAAACACTTCACATCTGCTGGGACCCGAGCGAGTGCAGGGCTGCCTCTGCCCATGTGTGTGGATATATCAAATATAAACATGAATCCAGTTAATTTTCACACACTTGTTGCAGCTTCCCCTGTCCCAGTGAAGGCCTCCAAGAGCCCTCCTCCTTCTTGATCTTGCTGGGAAAGCCTGGGTTTATGACAGTTCAGAGTTGGATGCACATTGGGGTGACAGACATGGGACAGCGGCTTCATCGCAGCATCGAGGAGAGAGATGAGCCAGGCTGGGGGCGGATTCAGCCTCATCAATCCATACTGCCATCTTAATTTATCAGCCACTGCCTCAGACAACAGGGTGCCAGACTGATAGTTGGGAAAGGCTTCTTTASTGAAGGACCCAGGAGGTCATAAAGTGTCTTGAATTGGGAGGAGGGGTTAGTTGTCAATTGGTGCTTTCCTGCTCTCACAGTGTTCCTGGCATGGCTTTCTAGATAAGCACATCCCTAAATCTGGGATGGGAAGTGATTTGTCTCCCCGGTTTTGCTCTTTTGAACCACGGAAGAGGAAAACAAACGTCAGTGATTTCTCGTATGTGTACTAAAAGCACAGGTTGTGATTATTTGTATTTTCTTTTTTTCCTGTGAATATCTGGGGTGCATTTGAAGCAGCAGCTCAGTGCTCTGCAGGCGCAGCAGGTGGTCAAACATCAGAGATGAGAGCAGAGAAGGGAAAAGCTGCTTGGCTGTGCACAGGGGTCTGGTGATCCTGCTGATTTTGGGATGCTGGGGTGCAGTGCTGTGCTGGGCAGTGGCCCCAGGAGCTGGGACCGGGCTCTCTTCCTGTGCGAGGGCGTGGGGGACAATGGCCCGACCTGGCCAGTGAATCAGAGCCTGGACTCACCCTGCAATCAGCAGGGAAATGAGCCACCTGCCCYGCTTCCTCTCATTTAACCGGTTTATTTTTAAGTGGGAAGGGCTATGAGGTTTGTTCTTTCTTCTCCGGGACGTCACATCCTATGGAGATCCCAGAAGGATGGGATGAGGTGTGAGCAGCCTCAGGGACCTTCCTTTGGGAACCACGTCCTGGTGTCTTCACTGAGCACCAGGCACTGATGTTCTTCATGGGGTACACATGAACCAAACTGCCAAGAGCATGGCAGAAACCCCCGATGCTGTCTGAGCTTCCTGACACCCTGCTCCCAAAGACAGCTGTTCCCAAACTGTTGCTGAACAAAAAGCCCCATGTCCTGGCTCTGCTGAGCCTGTGCTGTCACAGCTGTGYCTGGTGACTGTCACGGTGGTCCTGGTGAGTGGAGGGGCTCTCAGGCAGCACCGTTGCCGTTAGATTGGTCTGGGCTTTTCCTCAGATCAACAGAACAGAATTTTACACTATAAGCCTGCCTCACTGCCCCTTTGTGATCATGCACTCTGACTCTTCTTCTACTGGACACTTTGTGTGAGAAAACTGTGAGAATAGGGTCTGTCCATAGACTAGTGGATCCTTCTCCATGGRGTTATTCCTCTCATGAGCAGTAATTGAGATGCTCCCAGCATGAACTAGCATGAAATAATCCATCTCAGACACMGTGAATCTCATTTTCAGGACTATTCCTTCATAAAAGGAATCTGGCTACATTAAGGCAATCTAGTGTGGTAGATGTTTTTTTTTTCCATATTTTGCAGAAATGTGCTGTGATTGTGCTCCTCTGTTGAATGATTTCTCCGTGTCTATCCCACATTCTGTTTCTCTGTGGGATGACATGATCCAAAGGCTGCCTGGGTGCTGCAGATCTGGATCTGGCACTGTCCCCATCTGAGATGTCACTGTGAGGTGATGCTGTTTTGGGGACCTGATCTGTTCTGTCTGTGGCACAGCCCAGCTCTGTGCAGACGTGCTGGTCTCCTCATCTGTCTGTCTCGGGGATCTCCAGCACACCTCTGCTCTGCCTGGTGCAGGCATGCCTGTGTTTGCAAAACACCAGCAGTAATTAATTATTAAGTAGGAAACAAAGGAATGCGTGTAAGAGCCTCTCTTAGAGCAGTTCAAGTTCTACCCATGCTTACAGCCCCCTCCTTTTTTTGCACTCTTCTCCCTAGGTGTACTAATTTACTTTAGCACCAATTAATCCATATGTTTCGACCTGCTTGCCCATCCTATTTTTTTTTKTTTCTCCAGGATAGWACAGCTTTTGGGAGGTGGCTCTTTAACTCTCGCTGAACTTYTGCCAAACCAGTAGTGTTCTCAGAGAGGAATGTCAAGTGCTTGACTACAATTAATTTTAGTCAAAAGGRGAATAAATAGCACACCACCACATGTGTCAGAATAAAACCTGACTGGTGTTTGAGTAGGTTTTAACCATAGCCCCACTTCCAGGCTGTGTACATTATTTTTGTGGGAAAGGGGAAGGAAAGGGAGCTCTCCCAAARCTGGAAATGATGCACAAAATTTCATTACATCCCTACAAAGGTGTGAGTGTAGGTAACTGTACAGAGTGTTCTTACTTCCATGTCTGTCATTTTTACCTGGTTATCACTGTTTGCAAAGCAAAACTGCAAATACAGAAGTAAAGACAGGCTTGGCTGAAACTAAAATATCAGAAGTTGTCACTTCTGTGATCACAGATTCATAGAATGGTTTGGGTTGGAAGGGACCTGGAGATCATCTCGTTCCAACCCCCTGCAAAGTCAACTTCCACCAGACCAGTTTGCTCAAAGCCCCATCCAGCCTGGCCTTTAACACCTCCAGGGATAGGGCAGCCACCAGATTTTGCGTTTTCTGGCCAATCTATGCCAGGCCTCACCACTCTCACAGTAAAAATTACCTATCTGCTGTGACTGAAATCTTGGTGGGCTTTTTTGCATACAAATCTTTTTACAAGGCCTGAAGTTTTCACCAATGAACAAGACAACTGTAGACACCCATCTAAACTCAAGTTATTCTGGATTTCGGATCTTTCCTCTCCCAACATTTTCACTCTATTTTTAAATCCTTATTTAAGCCATTGTTCAGGAAGTAGCTAACAATATTAACATAAACCACATAAACAAGGCAGCATTACACAATGGCAATGTCTGACACTATTCATTGATATTTCTAGCTATGATAGTTTCCTTCTCCTTTCTTGAATTTTTTTTTTTGGACTCTACCTATTCTTTCCTTTCCAACGTTTTTTTCCAGTTGATGAATGTAGGGTTTCATTCTTTTTCTTACAAAACATGAACCAGCCTGGCTTTTCTCATTAACTTCCTTATTAGCATAAGCACCACYACCTGTAACATTCATCATGTGAGCTCCAGCACGATGCTGGGAGCTGGRTATATTGGACAACCCAAATTTCCTCCTAGAGCTAAATGCCAGGATGGAAAGATATTGCAAGTTCATCTTTTGAGACAGGTTTGGGGGGATTTTCTTCAATTATTTTGCAGGCATGCAATAAAAAATAGTTAAGAAAACTATTTTTAAGAGGCTGAAATCTGGAGGARATCAAACCCTRGTTCATTTGACGCAGGAAAGACAASCAACCATGCAGGACTGGAACCATCTAGTTGGTAAGACTGGTTAGGGCAAAATCAAAATAGGAGAGCTTTTTCTCAAAGTAAGCAACTGTAGGTTCTCCAGGAGAATAAAATACCTTGCTATAATGGTAACCAGGAAAATACCTCGAGGTTTTCAAGCAGGATGTGCAGTTCGTGCTGGTTACTGAGTGATAAATGATGCAGGCTGCCCAGAAAAACTATACAAACACATTATTTCAGCTAGCACAGCAAAGCACTTCAGATATAAATTAAAAATAACTGCAATCTTGTGGTCCTTGTCAGTTATTTACAAGCCTATTGAAGTACTTCCTTATCTGCCTTTCTCATAAGAAATTAGGCAATTAGAGTGTAAGTCTGAAGCCAAAGAACATCAAATGGTGAATCATTACGGCATCATTGCATGGGAAGTAGGAACAAGGCGAAGGCCAGAAGAAAACCCAAAGGTTTTTCATCTTCAGGAAATCTATTTTAAATTAAATTGAAATAAAAGCCTTAAATAAGTTTAATGTAATCCTGAGGAAAAGGCAGTTGCACAATAAAGAGGTATTTGCAGCTGAAATTCAACCTCATGCTGTTCAGGATATTTCTAAACAGGAAAAAAAAACTTTCCTGTCATTGAGCTAGCCACAAGTCTTTGTATAAGGAAATCTTTCATGAGCGAGAAAGAGAAATGCGGCCTGGAAGTCCAGTGATTCAGGAGTTTCTGAAAGATGGGGGGRAAAGGAAATGAATCAGTGTATATGCATTCCTTATTAACTTTTGTTTTAATTACATAATATATGTATGAGCTATRTTTATGTATCTATGAAAATATACTGTTGTGCATATCTTAAGAAAGGTTTTCTGGACCACTGTAGTGGGAATTTTGAATGTTGTGGGTACCCTTGTCTTGGTTTGGGGTTTTTTTCGTACAATTTGAATATTGACTTGAATTAATCTCTTCTGATCCAGCATTAGGGCACATTTCAAGATAATAAATGTGTTTTGGTTTTCTTTTCAGAGTGAAAATTTCAGCTTGGTTAAAAAAGCATTGCATTTCCTACCAAACCAAATCAGACATTCAAAATATGTCCAGCTCCCCTGAGCATCAAATGGAGGAGGGATCAGCAAGTCCAAGGCTTGGTCCTAATTTGACAATTTTAAGGTAACATTTTTTGATATTTTCTRTAGCAGATGCAGATAAAATGAGCCACTGGCCTTCAGGTAAGGAGTTGTTGTTATCCTGTTCTGTCTCTATAAAAGGTGAAATCAGGAAACTGATTCCCACACTCACCAAAAATTGCAGTCTGCTCTTGACAGGCAGGACTGATGGCTCTGATTGCTGAACTCTTCACGAAGTCCTCTCCTCTGCTGCACTGCTATTCATTGGAGCAATGGGCCATCACACCTGGGAATCTTCTGTCATTAAAAAAAAAAAGAGTCCATTTTACTTTTTAATTCAATCATTTCTTCTTTTAAATAAATTGTGTCGAGGCAGGGCAAATTGTGTCGAAAAGATACTACTTGAACAGAGTCAGATTTGCTCAAACGCAGTGACTCTTTTAAGGACACCTCTGAATCCTGTATTTAGTATTGGTCACCCTAAGAATGTGATTATACTTGAGTTTGCACCTGAGTACCCACCTGAAGCATGAGATTTGGGAAGATAATATTCCTTTTCTGACCTCAAATGTGCTTTAAGGCAATAAATGGCTAAATTTTCATTTTGTGAAGCATGACAATGCTCTGAGGCAGTTATTGTAGTTCAAGAGATGTCATTCTTGATTTGGGAAATGGCAGGGTTGAGAATTGAATATTTTGGGTAAATGGAGTACCGGGTCATCAGGTCTACATGAAATCCAGCTGAAAAATGTACAGGAAATAATGACAGCTGGCAATGACATGCCACTGTTCACAAAGGACAAGCTAGAGCAAATTGAGCCAAGGAAAGGAAATCCTTGATGTTACTCTGAAAGAAATTATTAARAGCTATTTTAGAATATTCAGCTTGGATCAGAGCAAAATAGGTTTTACTTCTAATAAGGATGTGAACATTTTAACACCAGTATTTAACCCACCCTTAGTATGGACTCACACYACCTACAAAAATGGTGACAAACATCTCACCATCCTGTTGAGAGGTGAAGGCAGTAGAGATGCTGAGCAAGCTCATTTTCCAATTTAGAGACACCAAACAGCTTCTCAGAGCAAGTGTCATTTATCTTCTTTCTTGTGTTGTGCCTATCTTTGAATCCTTTCCCCTTAATAAACACATCAGCTTCACTGTTTGTTGTGAGGAAAAGTCTAAGTCACGAAATTGAATGAATATTAAAAACTTGCACATTTTTCCTAAGGTCTTGGGAGAGAATGAGGATCCATCATGCAAGGTGCTRTCTAAACACATAGAGCCTGAGTAAATGAAACAGGAACAGAAAAGTTCAGTGACTCTTAACGACCCGTGAGGAGAAGCAGCCGACTGGAGTCAGCCCAGCTGCTCTGACATCTCGTCCATTGCCTTTTCCACTGGAAAACGCTGCACTGACATCTCGGATCGTGCAAAAAGTATTGGATGATATACACCAAATGGGAGGCTTATCACAGTTATCTCTGCAATGTCTGGCACCAGAAGGATTTAAAAAACAGACATCAAATTATAGAGGCATAGCCGCATCCCGAGCGTGTCTGTTCGGCGCAGTAATGCATAACTGCTTRATTATCACCATGAAATCCTCATGCTACTCATCTCTACCTGTCTCCAAATGYGTTGAGATCAGTGTCTAGATTTATTTCTTGCTCTTGGTCTCAGGTGTAGCAATTAAAGAAATGTTCTGTATTGCTGAGAGCGCCAGATGTGTGCAGTGGAGCATCCCAGACTGACAAGCATTTTGCTTTTAATAGTTCCTTTGGGTGCACACTGGCGTCTGGTTTTATTTTTCTGTTTATACTTTGTTTTTCTGYTTTATGGCACTATTTCCTTGATGGGGTTTTTCTGTTTCTTGCCTTGGAGAATGGTTTGGGGTAGCATGGATTATGGCACAGCAACATTAGGAGTTGTCTCCTGTTTCTGTTTTCAGTTTTTTAAGGTCATTCTAAGTTCTCCATTTAACTACTCCTGTGTGGAATAAACAATGAAAAATATCTACTGATTCTGAAAACTGAATTGTGATTCATGCTGATGTCTTCCTGGACCTGGGACCAGACTTAACATATTTGAGAAGGTTTCTTGAGGAGCAAGGTTCAGGAGCAAGGCTTTTTAGTCACAGAAKTTGAAAATCATCTTTGTCCTGCACTCTAGAAGTGGTGGGCACCTAGAATAGAAGGTGGCAGGGGATTTTCACTTTAAGTCTGTGTTTGCAGGTTTTATCTTCCAATCTAACTTTCAGTTGTTTTTCACTGCAGAGCAGAACAAGATGCTGAATTGCAATCTCAGCGCTGGAGCACAGCAGCAGACATATTCTAATGATTTTGAGAAATCTGATCTGTTTTTCTCTGGGATATTTTGTACCAAATTGAGAGTGCCATGATGGATATGACTAGCTGAGAAGAGCTACAGACTGTGTTTATTCCTGTAAGTAGAGCAGAAAGTCTTTCCTGACTTCTGCAAGTGATTATCTTTACTTCCTAAAGAGTAGAATTTGACTACTTTGACTACAGCATGAACAGTTGTAAATGTAATTCAGTGTGGTGAGAGCTATTTCTTAAAAATAATACAGGCACTCAAAAAACCAAATCTTCACACACTTAYTGTTTGTGAGGAATGTTGGGTGTATCATGACACCATGACCAATGGTGCGAGGGTCTAATATTGCAACTCCATATCTCACCAAAACCTCATTTATTCATTTTCTGAACARCGGTTCAGGTGAAACCATGATAAGCAAAAGATTAAAGYTCTGTCAGATAAGAAGCAATGCTGTACTATTTCAACTATCCTAGTTTTTGAAAGAGAATGAAATATGCAGTAATTCACACAGACAACATAAATATTGAATAACYGTTGCGATGGATTGCATTAATAGATACACAAGATGAGTAAAAACACATTTGATTTAGTCCTTTGCTGATGGTGCCAGCAGATTACAAGGACTAACCTATCTACTGCAATGTTACCCATCAAATGCTATAATTTAAATCTTTCCTCTTTTTTTTTTTACCTCTCTCAGAAAAACAGCATAGCCAGGATAAATAGCAGCCTKTACATCATTCTGTTTCACTGGAGACTGATCCTGATCTTACCCATYCAATTTCATGCACATGAATATTCCTCTTGATTAAGGTAAGAAAGTTTTTGACATCCACAAATCAATGTGGAATTTKGAGCCATAATGTGTCAAATTAATTCCTGACCTCACTCAGCTACCTGTGCATCCACTTGGCCTGACACCACATGGCAGAATTTGGGCATAAATTTGGTGTGAGATCTCCTGAAGCACAAACTGGAGCCAGGCTCCCACTGATGGTCCCTTGAGATCAGGTGCCATTCTGTCCTCTCTCCTCCTGTCCTGTGCGCATTTCAAGGGTGGAGGTTAAYAGGCATTCCCAACTATGCATGGCATCCTACTCCTTAATGCTGACAGGAATGGACTGTTTCCTAGGAGAYAGCTCAAAATGAAATAAATTATTTSAGAGATATTCATGTTMAAAGATTCCACGGAGTTCATCTTTACACAAAACTCCTGTTACCAATTAGCTGGCTGTGGATCAGGRCTCCAGGATGTGGCAGATATGATCCATTTGCCTCTTCCCTGTGTGACAAAAGCTGTGTGTGGCCAGACCCCCAAACCCCTTTTTCCTGTGTTGTGCTGCCATTTGAGCACTCCAGAGCTGCTGCATTCCTGCTTTTGCTCTTTGGGGCCTCTCGTTCCTCCTCGTGCCCTCACAGTAACATCTCCTGCAGCCTGAGTGATGCCAGCAGGAGGATTTCTCTCTCTGCCATGGTGGATCCAGGCTGGTGYGGTGCTTCAGGGCCCGGAGCCTTGAGGTTTTGCTTTGTTATCCCCCCACCGTGCATTTCAGGAGTGATAAATCAGAACCTTCTGCTTTGATTAGCTTTCCTCCACCTCCAGTGGCTTTTCAGATTGCATCTAGTAAAAAAATTGCCCATGAGCTGGCATTAGAGGTGTGCCTCTAGGGACTGGATTACCTGAATTAAAACGTTCTGATTCAGAWATACCTTTCCTACCTCTTTGTTGCCCTTGTTAGGAAAAAATGTCCCACTTTAACCTCCAGCTAACTGATTACCTGCCAGTTCTGAGGCTGTGTTCTGAATTAATGTGCTCCAAAAGCCAACAGAGATGCCTTGTGTTTGGGCACCTCATGGGAAAACGGGGAGATGAAAAGCCTGAGCAAAACTTTGACAAAGAGCTTGGAGTGTTTGACCAGCTATGCACAGCTGCTGCTGAATGGAGAATGCAGGTAACACGCCAAACAAAAGGGGATCAGAGGGAAGGCAGCTTTGCTCTCTGCACTGGACATCTTTACTTTCAGGAAAGGAGAGGGAATATGCTGAATTACCTGTAGGAGGTGTGCCTGCTTTTGCTAAGAGATGCACGTGGCTAATTAATTCCTAACCATCCGATCCCATACCAATGTATGCTGGAATTCTCTCTGAGGTCGGTGGGGGTACATCCCTGCACAGCACCTTGATTTGATTGATTGCATCCCACCYATCTAAACATGCCTCAAAGGCTCGTTTGCAGAGCCACAATCTCTCTGCCCTCTCCAATTCCCGATCTGGGGCGATAACGTCTCCTCATAAATCCTGGATGMGATAGCACCAGCATGACCCATCACTTCATTACAGCAGAGCCMTGCAGTGCACTGAGGAGGAGTTTATCTGGACAGAATGGATCTGGTCCAGGAACAAATAAAGGAGTTAGGAATCTGATTATTTCTGGGCCAATTCTGTATGAGTTACAGCTTCTCAATTTTCCTGATGTCAGCTAGTTTTGCAGTTTAGTTTTCCCTCCCCATGCAGGAGGTGCAGTACCTAGCTAGCACAGACATCCTGATGAGCTGCTGTTGTCAGGACAGCCAATCCAAAATTCGAATCAGCTTGGGATGGAATGCACCACGTTCAGTGCCATTTGAGCACTGGCTGTTTGGGTGTGTGCCAGGCTTGTTCTAAAAGCAGGGATCACCTCATYTGCAGGATCAGGAGATCTGTGGAGGTTCCTCAGACACCCCTGTCTGGCTCACCCCCGGGGAGGAGCAGCCTTATTTCCTCAGCTTTGTGCAAAGGAGGAATCCTTGTACAGAGGCAATTTCCCAATGGCCAGGAACGGTGGACAGAGTGTAGCATCTTTCACTAAAGGGATTAAAGGAATATGGTTTGTTAGGCTCTAAGCCACTCTGTGCTGCTTCAGACATGAGTGGTAGGGGCAAAGAACTATTTCTTCTATTTTATTTACTATTTCTGATGTTTCTTTATGATCACTTCCTGGTGGTTTCAGAGATAGCTGTTCTATCTTGGCCTTGCAGGAGCTTGTTTAGTCTGATGCTCTATATCATTTGTTTATTTCTTCCAGGACACTATATTTTCCATGTATTTACTTAATGSTTTATATTTACTTAATACACATCTTTCAGCAAGACATTCAGACTTCATTCAATGATTTCTGGAATTCCCTATGTGTTCCAAAACATAAAAATCACATCTGTGTGTTGAGMCTGCCCTTCCAAAATTCTTCTGTGCAAGTTTTGCAGACTCGATGGGCTTAGCAGACATAATTCTTGCAGGTACTCAGCGAGGTTTTAAAGTATTTAATTGGTCTTGAATGTACAGCACAGCTCTCCAAATACAGGACTGAGGTATTTGCTGATCCCTCTTGCCTGTTCTGCACATTTGAGTTGTCAGTTCCAGGTAGGCTGACACTTGCAGGGAGAAATTGTGAACTGTGGTGGTTTTCAGCAGAAAAGGAGACATTGCTAAGGGGAGCTCGTGGGTGGATGTCCTGAGCTGCAGCACRGTGACAGCTCTGCAGTTCCTGCCTTTGGCACCTCTTTTTAGTCTATGCCTCCTCTGGGATTTAGAGTAAGCAAAAAATCCTCTTCCACAGAAACGCTTTTACCCTTTTGTAAAATTTTGGTTTACTTATCAGATTTTAATTTGATTTTTTTTTTTTTTTTTCACTCAGGTTTTCATTTGATTGGGAAGTACTTCTGCAGGGCCTCATGGAAAAGGCAGCTGGGTGCTTTGTCCTGCTCCCTCCCTGGTGAGKTCCTGCCTGTTCCCAGTGCTCCTGCACCTTTTGGGTGTGCATATTCCTGTTCTGCACACTCAGAACTGGTAAAAAGMTAACTTGCTTGCTTGTTTAAGTTAGGGTTTTCACAACACACATTCATTCATCTTTGAATTTTTAAATTAGTATTTTTGTCTTCTGAAAATTAAACTCGTGAAGTCATGCATTCTGGAATGATGACAGCCTAAATTTGTTATGAATACCTAAAATAAAWTTTTATTTTCTTATTAATAACCTCTTTCATAAAAATAACAGCTGAGTATATATTCATTGCCAAAATTCTGAAGAATGTCAAATCACTAAAGGGCAGAAATTACTAACTAGACACCTGGAATTGGAGTTTCTTGAGTAATAAACCAGCTTTTGACAGCTGTAGCCTTTTTCTGCAGGTGCAAGAAGAACATTTTCTTCTTTTTATTTTATCTGCTTTACATCACTTAATGACTAGAGTATTCCAAGTTGGGAAAACAATTGGGAGTTGAAAGAACAGGAAAAATTGTTTATTCTTTCCCATATTATGAATAAAAGGTGTGTATGTGTGTGTGGGGGGAAGATCTGAGATCAACCAGTTCTAATCTTGAAGAATAGGAAAGCAAGGAAAAAATAGCTCAGCTGGCTTATTGCTGTTGRTATCTGCACTGTTCAGTACTTCAGCTGCCTTGAAATACAAGGAATATTTTGATAATATTTCCTAAAATACGCAAGACACAGTGTAGTTCCACTTAAACAATTAYGTTCTTCTGGATATTTTTGTTCAGAAGCAGCATGACACAAAGCACACATTAAAAAGTTAACCAGGTGACTAAAAMCTCCATGTCCTGTTTTCTCATAAATCAAATGTAAAAATCAAACCCCAGAATAAAGGCTTAGATATATAATGATGTGTGATATTAGTGTATTCTCTTCGGTAACAAAAACAAATATTAAATACCACCTCRCAGCTACCTTTGTTTGCAATTAAGCATTTTTATTAGTTGTCAGTCTCTGGGAATAGCCCTTTGTCATGAATATCTGTTAGAAAGCTCCAGTGCAATGCAAATYAAATTATTTAAATTGTGATTTAAATCACAATTAACAAAACTGATTTAAATCAAAGTGATATAAATTGGTCCATCCTCCTTTAAAATTAATCAGGGATGTGCTTTGAAAGAATACTTCTATCAGTGGTTCTCCATATCACTCAAGTTTTAATAAATCACAGCAAGGGATGGAATTTTTACTTAGTTCAACAGTCTCAATCTCTAAATTTAAGGCCACYGAAGAATAGATTAACATTTATAATTGCTAGGTTGATCAGTAATTCAAATTAAAAATGGGGATTTCAAAACAAATTAACCTTTGCAATACATCATGTGGAGACAGACAGACAGTGTATTGTTGRAAAGGTTCCCATCATCCTTGAAGTCACAAATCATTGTATTCTCCATGGTGCCTCTGCAGCCTCTGGAGTCTCAGTGTCCAAAAAATAAACTGTGATAACTGAAAGAACAACATGGACTGTTTGAGGCTGGCAAGTCCCTTTAGCATGGGCTATCRCTGCTTTGTGTCGCTCCAGGCAGACTTGTGTATTTTGGGACTAAGATTAGGATGTTTAGGCTAGGGCAAAATGGGTTTATAGTTAGATATGGACCAGCCCTTAACCTATTAATTGAGGCTCATGCTTCCCTCCACCTACCCTCCACATGCAATGAGACCATGATTTAAAGCAGTGGAGGGAAAATGGACCTTCTGTACCCAAACTTTTCTGCCTCAATGTGCTGTCCTGTGCTCTGTCCCTCTTTGTGACACTCCATGAATAGAACAGGACACTGTGTCAATATGGTCTGTGCTGTTATCTATTTATAAAATCAGGARCTTGGATCTCATCTGGAGGAAGCCACCCAATATGATCAGCACATCTGTCATGTTTCTCCTCAGGCAGCAAAGCAGCCATAACTGGAGAAGATGGAGTGGGTTTTGATGGCCCCGTGTAGAATCTGAGGAGGTCCAAGAGGGTTCCTTCCATGCTGAGACTCTACAGAGGTGGGAGATGCAGAACCCGGTGGAGGGATGTGTGGGGAAAGAGTGGGACATCTGAAAAGAGTGATGGCATCACCCAAACAGCTTTGGTCTCTCCTCCTGCAGCTACATCAGCTCCTGGAATGTTCTTGCCAATCGATGCAGCTGATGCAGGAACTCCAAGCTTTCTGTGTGGTGGTGTCCCAAGGAGCAGGAGATGAGGTAATCAATGTTTGATGTGTTTCTGACAGGGCTCATAGGCTCCCAGAAAACTGCTGTTTTCACATCTGCAGTGCTTTGCCCAAAATTTAAGTTTCCATGGACAACCTTCATATATTTAATGTGCTGATTTGGAAGGAATACACAAGAATCACRYGGAATRCACAAGAATCACACACCACAGTGCTCTCAGAGTGYCTTTTGTCCAAAAGCKTCTTAAATTCTGCCAGGCTTGGGGCTGTGMCCACTTCCCTGGGCCACTGACAACTGAAGTTGAATGCAGAAGAAATACTCRCTTTTTCTCTTAAWTTATGTGCCTCCACAGTCCTTACCAAAATTGAGCAGTCAGACACTAATGTGGAGTACATGACCCATTAGGCTGACCCTGTGGAAAATATTAGATTATGCAGATGTTTATGCACATCCTTTGTGTAACGGTAGAGCTATTGTGTAACTTGCCTTTTTTTGTCTCTGAGCAAAGTGACACMGGGGGAAGCTGGTAGTACTATCTCCTGATCACAGAGTTCCACAAGGATATAAATAGGGAATGAAGAATGAACAGTGGTATTAAAAGCTTCCTCTGAATGGATCTTTTTTTTTTTTCTAAGTTTATAAATAGAAATTAAACGTAATGTAAACTAAACAGACCGGAATAAACACGGAACTGTGGCAGGTATTGTCATCACTGCTCACACAAGTTTTTTGGTCTATGAGGAAGCAAAGCCAAGGAGGAACCTTAAAGATGTCCAAGCTTGAGCAGTGGAAATGAGGATGTTTTTCTAGAAGGCAGAGCAGAGATGAGCAGTGGAAATGAGGCTGTTTTTCTAGAAGGCAGAGCAGAGATGAGCAGTGGAAATGAGGCTGTTTTTCTAGAAGGCAGAGCAGAGATGAGCAGTGGAAATGAGGATGTTTTTCTAGAAGGCAGAGCAGAGATGAGCAGCCTCACCCCTGATGTGGTGGCCCAGGGTGCCAGTGGCTCTAGGTTGGGTTTGGCAGTGTGGAGGAGCTGGGGACAAACCTCTCCTTCCTGCCAGGACCACGCCAGCCTCTTCCAGCTGGGATGCTCCTGGCTTCTGTCATCCAGATGATGGCAAAATGTGGGTGGTAGGTGAARAAATGCTGATGAGGAGGATATCGATGAGGCTGCTGAATAGCCAGCCAAATACTTGAAATATTTTTMAAAACTTTTGGCAGGCGAAACAAGATTGCAGTCTGGAAGAAAAAGACCTGTCTGTCTTGTTCAGTAGATGTTTCCAGCTGCTGGTAAAGGTATTGGCAATAGGAGTTAATTAATAACTGGAAAGTTATTGCTTTTTAATGCAGGCAAAGGTTGTGCAACTGCTACAGACATTSAGTTAAACATGCCCTGCTTTGCATGCTTCATTTTTTTCTCATCTAAATAAATTGCAGGTTGTTCAAGGATCTCTCCCTTTCCCAACACTATATTATTTGCTGAACAATTTTTTCTTTTTTTTTTTTCTTTTCTTTTTTTTCTCCTCTAAGGAGAATGAAGTATTGCACATGGCCTTTTTCCAAAATCAAAAGCTCTTTAGTATGGTTAGCCTTTCTGGTCTATCTTATTACTGATATTTATACAGATGTACAGGCAAAACCAAATTTATTGCAATATTTATTGGGCTGAATTTGAGGTTATTTATAATGTGGTTAGATGGCTATTTATTAGACATGTCACAGTAGCTATTTAACACTTCTATAGCTGTCTAACTGGAATTAGGACATAAAACAGAATTTATTGTATATTATCCAGAAAATGTTACAGGAAGAGTAAATTCTAAGAAAGACACAACCATCASAGTAATGAAGGGACCASRAAGAAAAAAAARAAGTAGTTTTAAATAGCARTTCTCAGCCAGGCTGAAGGAAGGGAATATTTGGGATGTGAGGAAGTCCAGGTGCAGATTTTAAGTTCTCTAAAATGCACCAGCACTCTGCCTAACAGCTGACCTTTCCCTCATGAAATGGACATTTTTCATTTAGAAAAGGAAATGAGAGTCATCTTCTTTGATTTGTTTTGTGCTGATTAAGTAGAGTTAAAAAGTTCTGTGGGACCATTTTCTCAAGGAACGATTTCATAAAAATCAAGCATTTCACAGGCAGGTGTTACTTCAGTGTTTTTAATGCGTTGTGTTAAGGTGGTACTGACAGGTGCATTTCACTGTGATTGTTTCAAATGACTTTTTTTTGCCATATTACTGTTTTTTAACTCTGTATTTCACTGTTGTGAAAGCTTTTTGCAGCATCAGGATAAAAAGCTTTATTTTCTATTAACATCTATGGGATTTGGATCTTTTTCTAATTTAAAACAGAAAATGAATGCACATATTGAATGTCTCACGAAGAAATGTGGATCAGAATTCCCTGCAAGGAAAAGACTGTAAGTGCAAAAAAAAATTCAAAAATAGTTACAAATTTCCTTTAAAAATAGTTTCCCATAACCTTTAAAAAGAGCAGATTCTTTAAGAAAATAAGTCTTGTACAGAAACACAGACCATCTTAAAATACTTCACCAAAAGAAGTCAGCCTTTCTGTTTAACAAATAAACCCATTTCTGTGGGAGGATGCGGAGGAGAGAGGAAATGAGGCCATGGAAGGGTTTGCAGGTGTGAGGGTGAAGCTGGGCAGCCACTGCTTTCCACTGCTYGTGAAGGTGCAGCAGACACAGGATGGGGTGAAAGGAGGTGTCCTCCCTCCTTTTGGCACTTTCTTGGGGCAAAAGAGTGTTTGTGCACATTGCCACTTCTGTGCAGGAGCAGCACACCCCATCCCAGCCTTTGCCTTTCTTGATTAATTCAAGTTTTCCACCTTTTGTCCCATGGGAATACTCACCCTGCACACGCACAGCTAACTCATCACAGGATGGCAGCTGCTGGGGACCAATAAATACATATTTATCCCTTGGTTCTTGCAGGTGGAGGAAATGAAATAGTCCAGCCTTCAGATACTGCAGCCTTGAATGGCATAGGATGGGATATTGAACAACAAAAAGGCTTGTTGATCAACAAAAATGTTGATCATGGGGGAAAACTCTTTGTCCAGATTGCACCTGCATTGAGATAAGTTTTAATGGTGGTTTTTTAGAGTGTGGATGCCAACTGAGCTAATGCTGGTGAGAAACTACAGTAGGTAATTCAAGGAGACTACGTTTTCTTAAATTCATTAGCTGCCCACTGAGGGTTGAAGAGAACATAACTAAAAATTATTATATATGAATTATGAAGTTCAAAGAGAATGTGTTACTTCGCTCACACAAAATTTCAAGGGAGACAAATCATAGGGGTTTATTAGCATATTCTGCCTTTTCAACAAATCTTGCAAGGAAGGGAAAACCCAATAATGTAAAGGAGTTGAAGATTCATGTTTCCATAATAGCTGTATCTGCACTATCCTACCTGTGAAATTTATTCTCTGTGGGTGTGGGTGCTGTTGAATAGTTTTTATTTCCCAGCTATCTTTYGCTTTTCCCTGTAAGCAGCTCTTATGAGTATTTGTATTAAAAKGCAATCCTCTCCTAGCTAGAACTTTCTTCAGCTGCATTACCCCTGGGCCAGGGGCCTTGCAGGGAGCAAAGGGCAGCATGCAAAACTGATCATGAATACACTCRCAAAAATTCTTTTTTATTTGAGCTCATTCATTCTAATTGTTCTCTCGAGGCTTGATCCAGAGCACAGAGAAGCCCAGAGGGGACTCTTTGGGCTGTGGGTCAGGTTTTCAGGTCACCTGTACATGGCACGTGGTGAATAATGAGCAGCACACTGCACAGRGCCAGCTCCTCGGGCCTGACCTGGAGGATGGAGGTAACAATTCGGCCACTGATCTCATCAAGAGCGGTCTCAGGGCTGGAGGAGAGCACAGCCACTCACTCCTTCTGCAGCAAAAGGCAGTCACAGACCTTAATGAACAGCAGGCTGGTGTGTCCCAGTAATGCAGTTGACCATGCCCTGATTAACTGGTGCAAACTGTGCCCCTGAAGGTTTTCTCTGTGGAATTAGTTCTTTTGTTGATGGCAATGGTCCAAGAAGTTGTTAGAGTCACTGCTGGGACTTGATGTGATTACAAATATATTTCCACGTTCAATTATGAGTACTGTGATGACTGATTTGTCCTTCCACTGGTATAAACAGGTTAGGATTAATACACRTATTTTGCAAACCAAACTATATACATTGAGAACTGTTTAGGGTGGGTTTTTTTCTTCTGCCTTTTTTAGGGGGGGTTGGTTTTTTTTTCTAAACAGAATCCTTTAAGCCAATTTAAAAAGTTTGTTCTTGCAGACAGAAATGTTCTTCCCTCTAGTCTCGATTAGGCATTTGGATGGGAAATGGAATGTGGAGGTCTTGGCCCAGCATTCTGTGCAACCACAAGTGAACCAGTTCATGCTGTGGCCCCTTGTTCTACCAAACTTTACCCTACTTCCTTGATTTAAAGCGGTTGTCATCTTTGTCTCTTTTATGGACACCCAGCATGGTAYGACCCAAAATTAGGGGTTCTGGACATCACCACAGCAATCACAATAAAGGTCTGAGAGTCGCTTGGAAATTTCCAAAACTCCCACCTCTTTCCACAGTGTTAGAAACAGGTCTTGATGAACTGCCAGCTTTTAACCCTTATCATCTCTGTTTCCATGGGTGCCCCTTCCTGGTGTCCTGTTGCTTTCCATTCATTGAGTTCCACTGTTGGCACAAAGGATCAGATGCATAAGCAGATATGTAATTACCAAGTATAAGACAGATAACCGCATGGCAGAAAAAGGAGTGTTCAAGCCTGGAAACAAAAGAGTTAAAATAAAATTAATTTCTCTTTCCCACTTTCCAAAGATGCAAGCCTTTCTGTATAAACTCCTGTCATTAATCTAATAAATCCCTGCTTTGTTCATAATTTACTACACTCCTCAATAAGCATTCTAATATTTGTGCAGGGCAAGTATATAAATCACTGTTGCCCTTCTCTACTTTTTTTTTACTTACGTGGTTCTTTCAAGGTCACTAACCTACCTTACAGCTTTCATCTGGTTTAAATATTCAGCTATTGCCTTTTACACCTYGCTTCTTTGTTCATGTCCATTTGGATATCTGCAGCTGCATCTTCTCAAGTAGTTATTGATCCATGTCTCCTTGCTAAAGGTTGCTAATTTAATGATACAAATTACATCTGTTAGCGTCCACTCACACCTCTCTTTTAGAAGGAAAGAATGCCTTCTGACTTTGTTGTTATTGGCCATCTTTTCTGCCTAGGATATGTAAAAGTCAATGAGAAAAATTGTATGYTGTAAAATATCCTCATTCTGACATGTGTAGGCTTTCAGTGCCCAGGTCATGCAGAGAAGCTAATCAATCCCTACTGACCTCCAGGAGCATGAAATATAGCTGGGCAAGGCCCCAGTCCAGCAAAGCACTTAAGGATATCCTTATGTAAATATAGGATCAGCCCCATTTTCAGTGTGATTTGGTGAGAARTGCATTTCAGAGCAGAGCATCTCCAGGGATGCTGATTCTTGCAAGGGCTGTGCAGGATGAGGCTGTACCAGCTGCAAACATGAGCACAGTGTGAGGTATTTGGTAATCTTGCATGGGGCAAAGGAACTCTCTTTGGTTTGCTTGTGGGGAGGCTGCTGAGGCACTCCTGCTTTGCAATCAGTGTGCATTTGTGAGTGTGAGCTCATGTCCACTGCTTGAATTTCTTTTGCTGTTTAAGGGAGAATTAAATTATTTAGAAGAGGGCAGTTATCATCTGAGTCCTGCAGGACCTGATAACCTGCCCGTTTTGTGCTGAGAGATCATCCTGTTCTCTGGCTTCATCGGTTCCTTGACCCAATTGTATTTCTGCCACAAGATTGCCAACTTGTACCAAAACCACAGCTGGAGCWGAGTTCTGTCACAGTCATCTGCCAAGGGGTGAGGCTGGAATAGTTACCACCATGGTATAGAAGAAAACAGAGCCAGAAGGGACCTGAGGAGGTCACCTCATCCACCCCCACACAAACTGCTCCTGACACGTTTGTCTGAAGTGTTTCTTTAACCCCGTCAGCCGTGGAGATCCCCCAGGCAATCCCCTCCAGTGCCCAGTGACCCTTGCAGCAGGGAAGTTATTCTAGTGCTGAACTCAGCTCTCCCTTGCTGCATTTAAACCCATTACTTTTTTTTTTTTTGTGCTTTCCCTGTGGATGTGGATAACAATTTATGGCCTTCCTCTTTGCATAAGCCTTTTCTTTAATTGAAGACTGTTATCAAGTCTCCTCTCTGTCTTCCTGCTCTAGACTAAATAGCCCAGATAGGATGAAAGCTGGAATGGGGTGTCAGGGAGAAGGAGTTAGAGGAGGAAATCAGAGAGGGATTAATCCTGCTTTCTGTCCCGGAAGAAATGGACTTTTCCTTCTGAAGAACAGGGATGGGGGAGGCGGGGATGTGATTCTCAGTGCTGCAGATTCACTAACGCAGCTTTGTGAAATGTGTATCTGATTGATGGGCTACTACCTCACAGACTGAGGAAGAGGGGTTTGGACTGAGCTGTGGCCCTGATCTCCAGCCCCTGAGTTTAGGAAATCAAGGCTTTAATTTCTCACATTGGTGAGGAGTTCGTGCACCTCACACATCAGCTCCTGGGAGATGTATCTGGTGGAGCTTCTGTGCATGACAAAAGCTGTTTCCAGGTGCTGTGTGTGTGTTCTACAGCCAGCCAAAATGATGATGTAGCACCAGCACCACGCAGGCAGCCCATGGTGAGTCCTGCCAGRAGCAGGAACCCTCTCCTGCGGTGGCAAAGCTCTGTTTGTGCTGCCCTCACCTCAGCTCTGCGCTCCCAGCCCTGCTCAGARCTCGCCACACACGCTGCCTACATGAGTTTCACAACTCCACTGCTGTTCATAAAACCAGCACGTGGAACAGGCAAACACCGTCTGATCCAGAATGCCCCGGGGCCTATTATGTCAATGTCACATACATTAGGAGAGAACAGCGAGCGCTCAGAGTGACTTCTCGTGTTTGGAACCCTTTTCCATTATTCACGGCGGCTGTCAGAGCCGCAGCACGTATGCAGCCACTGCTGTCACAATCTGGAGGAAACAAAACTACCTCCCAGCCTGGAGATTGCCAAAAGTACAAGGTGGGGGGAAAAAATGTCTCCTTGCTACTTAACACTCCCAAACAGGTTTTGGTGACACTTTTGCCTCGCTCCAAGCGCTCCAAGAACAGCACGTAAGGTGGAGCTGYTTTCCCTAGACTCCTGGTGACATGGGATCACAGGATTATTTGCATCAGAAAAGGGCTGGCCTGGAAGAAAGCAAAATGTTAGATGCTGTTTGGGTCAGCAAGGRAGTTCATTGCATTTCAAGTGCACTGCAGACTAACTCCGGCACTCCCAGTCTCTCTTTGTCCCCCACTGGCTCATCAGTCAGCTGTTAAGACTTTGCAGTTCAATTTCACAGTTAAAATAAACCTTGACAAATTGCAATCCAATTGTTTGGTTGGGGTTTTTTTTGTTTTTTTTTTTTTTTTTTGCTCTCCTTTTCCCCCACCCTTCCTTCTCAGAGTGACTTTGAAGATGACATTTGTACTTCTGAATTAAAACCACATTTGCCCAATACTGCAGAGGGGGGAGGCAGGGGCAGAAGAGAGAAGAAACCCTTTTGTTCTCCTCCTCACAGCTCCCCCTCACCTGCCAGGGCCAAGCTCCAAAATAATTTCTAACAGCTGAGGTTAGCCAGGGACACCTAATCCCGGAAAGCTGGCTCTGAATTCCAGCACCAGCACACAGTGTTTGAGTTTCATCAACAGCCCTTTACATCTAATTCTCCCAAACCTCTCAAGTGTGAGTATATGTACAGGTGTGTGCTTATTTAATAAAAAGAAAAAAAAAAAATACATAAACCTGAGCCCAAATGGCATCAACAGCAGTGACAGCATTCATGATTTTTAAAGCTGAGCAAGCTCAGCAACCGTTTTGAGGATGCACTGGGGTCTTCTGAGTGTACCCTAAACTGCTGTGTCTACAGGATACACAAGATTGTCAACCAAAGGGAGGGCTGACTCCTCTCCCCCTGATTTCCTGTCATGGAAAAGGAGTGCTCTGTGCAAATGGAACTGAAAAAAACCTGCTGAGTGTGCTGAGACCTGTCCTGTGTGTTTACAGAAGGGGTGTAAGGAGCATCCTGGCAGCACAACAGAGAGAAACCTCTCGGGGTTCAGCTGGTGGGAGGATGTGACAGCAACGGGCTCACTCTGAAGGAAATGCACCTTCCCAGGCATGAACAGGGACCAGATGGGATGTGTTGGGTAAAATTGCAGTTTTTTCTTCTTTGGAGTCAGTCAGCAGGGATAATGTGCTATTTTTCTCAGGAGAGTTTTAATTTTTTCAAAGGTAGTCCTCTGATTGACCCTAAGTATTGGCAACCCAAGGATAAAACTCCAGTTCTGTTGCATCCCTTCCCAGAAAGGAAATYTCCAGCAACTTTACTCATTARGGGTTTGCTTWAARACCATTCATTTTTTATTAAGAAAAAAACTCTGGTTTCACTGTTTAGCCAGTTGAAATGAGTAATGAAAATGTTATTTRTATGGGACAAAGGAAATGTTTCTTTGAAATTATCTCATCTTACTAATTGATTACAATGGGACTGCTTGGATGTGTGCAATGTACAGCATCCAGTCCCTCTGTCAGAACAGGTCTTCAGCCAACCTGATATAAACCATCCCATGGGAKAAAACAATGGTAAAATGTGTCAGGTATTTAAGGCTGACCATCCCATGGATCCAGCTCAGTCTCCACAAGGAARCAATTAGGGTGTCTGAAAAGATGTCCTAAAAATATTGGAAGTTTCTGTGGAAGATGAAACACTAGAGAATATTGATAATTAAAAACACAGACTAGAAATAAAAAAATTATCTAGAGAAAACTCCTCCAAGGAATAGGTATTTTCTGTTGTTCAGTGCAGATACCACTGAGAGCCTGCTAGCACAGAAAATACTTGCTGTTGATGAAAAGTAATAATATAAATCCACAGTATGTCTGAATTTAAATCWGAAAGGGAAAAAATTAATATAAAGGATTTAAGTATTACAGCACAATTCCCCCAAGAAGCAAAAGAATCTCATATTTGGAAGTGATTTGAATATAGTAATCTTCAAATATTCACGGCTGAAAGTGTTTTTAAATGCTGTTTCCAAAATAGATGTTGCGAGACAAAAACTGTGTCCTAAGYTGATTTCAAAACCATGGAAAATAAYGTTGTTTCACATAAACACAGAAGAAAATACGATACCAACAGAAATGAAAGGGGAAAAAATTGTCCAGGTCTGTGTGTTGAGGATGGTGAAAAAGAGAGAGAAGAGGTTTCAACAGGAAAGCTGGAAAAGCCAGCATGGAGAGGCAATGTCATTCGCAGCTCACGGAGCGATCCGTGCTTTTTGTGTGGTTATGATCTATTCCCCCTCGGCTCCAGCAGCCTCTCTCACTGCTGCCTGCTGCCARCAAGTAGGTCAGAAACCTATTTTTGTCTCTATTCTTCTGTGGCCTTGTCGTGGTCCCTGCAGCGGGGAGGGGAAGGGAAGGTGTGAGTGGTGGCTGTGGGATGGGGTCTGTCCTGTGCTGGGCTGAGCAGGGTGTCCTGAGCCCCAGCTACCTTTGACAAGGGGGAATAATGATCCCTCCAACAGCAGGGATTGCCTCTGGGGGTGCYCATCTCTCTCTGCTTGCTGGAGAATGGTTTTAAGGGAATTAGAGACTTAGTCTGYGGTTAAATGCCTAAACTAAACAAGATGAATCTGAGCCAAAGCATGTGTAATGTGCCAGCTCCATCCAGTGATGCTGCACCCAAGCAGTGCAGGAGGTTTTTGTGGTTTTTGTGCTAACTCAGATCTTTGTGGTCTGGGTTAGAGGGGCCTTGCAAACCGCMGTGCTGGTGTGGCTGAGGTGCGGATGGAGGGGTCTCAGGCAGGAGCAGGAAGCTGGGCATGAAGCAGAAGGAATTGTGCTCTGGGGCTAAACATTCAGTGCTCTGGGGCTAAAAGCTGCTTGCTTCTCCTGCTGTCCCCCAGGGCCAGTGATTTTATCACTTCTGCTCTTAACATCCTTCTTTCCTCTCCATATACCAGCTGCCCTTTGCCCCCCTTCCCCCTCCTCAAAACTTGTCTAGTTGATTAACATAATTCAGTTAAATTTCAGTAATTGTTTTCAACTTTTACTTCCCTCTGAAGTTARCTAGAAGACATGTCAGAAAGCTGCTCTAATTCTCCCACAATATAATCTAGAAATTACTTTTTAAAAAAATTACAATAAATTAACCTAAAGATACCATCTCTCCTTATGGACTTKCCTTATTTGCATCTCTGTGTCATGAGTGCCAAACCCCTCTTCTTGCTCCTCACTCCTCTCTTGTCAATGCCAGGCTGGTTGGGATGGTGCTTTTGCCACGCTGGACTCCTGTGACCTTTGGAGGACAAGTGATCCATCTCCCTGTGGGAGATTTGGTGTTTTGCCACTGGTCAACAAAGTACTGTCCCCAAATGAATAGTTTTACAAGTTGCAAACACAGCCAATGCTGCTGCCAAAACTCAAGGGTTTGTCACCCCTGAGGTGGCTGCAGGAGATGCCAGGCAGGATCATTAATTGTAAAGTGTCCMTCTCATTACATTTCCCTAAAATATCTGCAGTGCTCAGTCCAGTGCTGTGCTACTTCATCTGAGGGAATTGCGTTCCCTCTGACAYGAAACAAACTGCAAAGCAGTCGCCTCATCATTCTGCCTTTAGCAGGTCTTGAGTCCAGCCTTTCAAACTGATTTTTCCCTTTTCACAGTGCATCTGTCAGGATCCCGATCTGGAACAGAAGATCAGAGCAAACGGGGGCTGAGGAGAACAAAAGCTGACCCAAACCTTTGACCTAAACATAAAGCCAAATGAAACTTTAGAGGTTTGTAAATGTTCATGAAACATTTCCACCTCCTGCTCCCMTCTCCTTTATCTTCAGTTTCTTTATGCTTCTACACTTACTGTTTCTAATTGAAAGTCTAATGTAAAGCACCCCTAAATTAATGGAAAGGCTCTCACTGATTTTAGTGCCTTCTCATTCAGCCTCCCAAAGAAAGGAAATGATTTCTTTAATGAAACTTTCTTTAAACTTAAGAGAAGATAAAACCTGAAGAGAGAAAAAGAAAAGCAGAGACYAAATGCAATTTTCCAGCTAGCAGCACATGTTCTTGATCTGAACCACGCCCATAAAATTGCTATGGATATTGTTATCCCAGGAAAAAAAAAATCACTGTACAGAAACAGAGATTTGCTGAGACAATGGTGAATTGGTTTAAAAAGCTTTAATATCTGCTAGTAAAGAATGGTAACATTTCTGGGTCTTGAGATCAGGTTGTCCTTTAGAAGCTAAACCCTGGTAATTGGCTGGCATTTGTCACCTGAAGTCTCCATTCATATGTGTGAGACTTTCCTTTGTACCAATATGGAAAAATGAAACACAGGAAATCTTTATTAAGAAAGCAACTCTGCTATTCATACAGTTTTTAGCTTTCCTGGTGACTCKTTTCAGAAGGAAGTATTGGTAGTTTATGGGCCTTAGTTACACTTGGATTTCCCTAAATGATGYCTTGGCTGGTCAGAATAAATGTTCTTCTCTGAGTTACATTCCAGATTCATGGATGAGAGACTTGAGGAAAGCTGGTGAAACCCATCCAAATTAAAATTAAGATGTGGCTGATGCTGAAAGGTTGTTACACTGTCTTTTGGCAGCAACAGGTCCTGATGGATTGGTGCTGCCAGTTCAGAGCTTGGTCTCTGTAGGACTGGCCTGCCTTGAGCTCCTGTTTTGCACATACAAATTGAGTGTTTTCTGTGTGCAGACTGGTATGSCTGCATATTTTACTTGTGAATACATGCACAGTGTGTCTAGGGAATTATTTCCCAATATCTGTGTAACAGACAGTTTTGGTGTTCACAGTCTCAGGGCAGATGCACACAGAACAATGTGTGCTCCAGAGGTTGCAATTTGGTGTTAATGGAAAACACAGATGTGCMAAGTGGCCCTAGGAAGATGCTGTTAATAACAAGCACTGCCTGTTCATAATGTTCCTATAAATGAGCCTTTTTTTTATTATTATTCATATGCAAATTTTACACAGCATAGTGTTTTTTTCATTCTCTCATTTTCTTTTTGTCTCCTCTGTCTTTTTTTCCCCCTTACTCCTCCTACATTTTCTGCTTCTGAACTGCTCGAAAGTTCTCCCCAGTRTCAAGGCTGGACTGTGTGGTCTGTGCCAGGAATACAACTCCTGAAAGAAAATAAGGACCATGACACAGAGGTGTTGGCTGAGGTCCGTGGACCATCCATGGTGGAGCAAATCCACTGGACAGAGAAATCAGGCACAGAAGAAATGATTCTATTTGCTTTTTTCAGCCCAAGTTAGAGGGAGAAGATTTTATTTGTTGGCCTAGTGACAAATCTATTTTGACTGTCAGAACTCAGAAAACTTTTTTTTCTCACAACTTGTCTTGGATCTACTGGTGTGGGTTTTGTAAATATTTCATCTATCTGGTTCTAGAAACATACAGGGCATGAATTACTGGAAATGAAGCAAAATGTACCAGACATAAACTCAGCGCATCCTCTATAGCTCATATTCTCTGAAGACTCATTTGTCCTTTTCCTCCTTCTAGATATTTCCTCTCCTCTTTCTGGCCTGTTCTTGTTATTTGTTTCATCAGCCATTTGTTATACAACTCTTGGCAAAATATCAGGGAAATCTTCCTGACTGTGAACTGGGAAGAGCTTTCTTAAGGGAACAACAAAGATTTCTTTACTTGGGTGAGCAGAAAACAKGCCAAGCCCAAATATTCTCTTTGCTGAGACCAAGTTCATGAGGACAGCGATGTGCTTTGTTGGACTCAGTTGTGCAGGTGATGAAGCTTGTCCTGTTGGGATTTTCTTTGGGTTTTTTTAAGGGTTTTAAGTGTGATTTCTCCCTGTGAAACTTGCCTCATTGCCATGCCAGTGGTCAGTTTGGCAGGGATGGAGGGATGGACTGAGYTGCTGTCTGGTGGGAACTGAGCTCCCTGTGTGTGGCTCCATGGAGGTGGTGGGACTTCCCATCCAGGRGTGGAGAAGCCTTTCTGGCTACAGGCAGCTCAGACAGTCATCAAAACAAGCAAACTGCATGCTTTCATCTCTCCTGAGTCCACAGCTTCCGCAGCCCAGACGAGATGTCCTTAGAGCCAATCAGAACTTCAATAAACTTTTCACTTCTGCAGTTTCACCCAAGATTTGACTTTGCWCTGGGATTATCCTGACATTCCTCTGCTTCAGGGCTCTTGGGTTCCTCTCTGTCTCCTCTCCAGTTGAAAGTTTATAGCAGAGCTGCACAAGCATGTCCTAAACTCAGAGCAAACTGAAGGAAAGGCAGCTCCAGCTGCAGCTGGCAGCCTGCCGAGAGACTCCCCTGSCAGCTCTCCGAAGAGCCTGTTACTACAAGTTCACTCCAACCAGCAATTCTGGCCAAAGAGAAATTTTGCATGAAGTTCATATTAGTTCAATATTAGCTCACGTTGCCAACGATTCAGTAGCTCCTTCTCAGTGCTTGAATCTCAGTTGAAAGATTTATGTGCACTTGCCATGCAGCCTCTCTGAGAAAGTCGTGAGGGTGGGCAAGCATTTCGTTTTTCCAAATATCATGGTACCAGTGAGTCTTCTGGAAGGACTGAAGAGTTTAAGTCCTAACACATAGTTGTCATCTCTGCAAGATGTAATAGCATCTAGATTMGCTTCCAAAGCAGCAAAGGACACAGTAAAAGTAGTTTTACATAGTAATTTTCATTTCCACTCACCGAATCAGTGAGGTCTTACATCTATTGAATAACCCAACATTTAYAAAGCTTTTCCTTTAAAAGAGCTTMTATTGCTTTGACTGCATGCWTTAAAACTCATTTTGTGTGTTTTAAATGAATTACAACCTATTCAAAAGCACTTTCTCACCCTAAAGCACTCTGTACATTATAGTCTCTGTAATACCTTCAGTTGCTACAGAAATCTCACAGAGCTAAGGAYGTTCATGCTAAATAGATTTKGTATTTTGTTGATGTTCATGCTAAATAGATTTGGTATTTTATTCATGTTCATTTCATTTTGTGCACTTGCCAAAAGATTTTTGTTGAAAAAGAAAAAAAGAATATCTATGTTATTGAAATTTTGGAGGTTTGGTTGAGAAATCTCTGCTTTAGTTCCTTTTAAGTCACATTTCCGTGGGTTTTTAATGAACGGCAGTATGCAAATATTAGCAGCATAGCTAACATTTTCTGCCCTCTCCTCTCATATTGTACATTAACAAGGATGAATTATTGTCTCACCCCTTGAGCTGGGTGAATTCTGTGTAATCTGGGCTGAGACTAATGAGCCAACCCCAGTCTTCGACTGGACCTGGAGTAAGGCAATGGCTTCTAACTCCCCACCAAATTCAGCAGTGCAAGAGGCAGTGCTGTGTCCATGACCTGCTCCAGTACCTGTTCCCACTTTGCTTCTGGAGCAAAGCCCATCTCCATCCTGCTGGAAAGAGCTTTGCAAAGAGGAAGCAAAACTTGTGCTTGGTGCCCTGCAGAACAGACAGAGGCTTTGTGGGGGTGTCCGTGGGAAGGGGCGTGTTCTGGCCCCAGGAATGGGAGGCATGTCCRCAGTGGGAGGCAGCGCTCACGGGATTCCCCACTCTCACCATTGAGCATTGTTCAGAACAAACGTAGATGCTGTATATGGATGTAAAGCTTAATTTGTGGTTTTTACACCCACCACATTTCTTGGAGTTGACGTTTTCTAGAACTTTGGGAATTTTTATCTCCAGGCTGTTGCTTTCTTTTGGGTTTTTTTCCTTCATTTTATAGGAAGTTAGCAGCCCATGTTTTTTTCATAATGCAAACAAATCAACCCACGCTTTGGCCAAAGCAGCTGGGTAATGCTGTCCTGTCCTCAAAGGTGTTCGACTCTGCAGGGCAATGGGGGCACATGTTTGGTTCCTATAACACAGTACAGCTGCACCATGACATTGATTGGGTGGATGCTGAGAAATATGTAGGAATTCCCAGGGGAAATGTGGAAATGGGGGGGGCCTTCTTCACCCAGTGTTCCACTTTGTGCCMAACAGTGAGAACAGAGTGACTTATTTTTCAGAAATATCTGTAGCCACCTATGACTGAACAGTTGTTTCTTGCTCCTGATAGCACCCAAAATGTTCAGGGCATTTTCCAGGTGGAAGAAAGAGCTAAAGAGACACAGAAGRAAGAGGGAGAAGATTCARCTCAGCAGTTGTTAAGTATAAGTGGAATCTCATTCATTCTAAAATTTCAGCCTATTGTGATGACTTCACAGTTTTAAAGAAAAAAAAATGCTTTTGTGCTCTCTAAGGTGTGCTGAAAACCTCCTTGTTCCTSCTGCTCCGTGGCAGAAGATGCTGCATTGGGATTTGTAGAAGGCTTTGAAATGAGGTATGTAATACTCATCTCTGAAAATCAAACTCATATTTTCTCCGAGGATGGAACAAAGATGGGTCAGTCACCCTTTCTGTGGGAATTTCCAGCCAAATAGAGTAGTCATGTATTTCAATTCAGTGATGAGTGGGCAACAGTGTGGATTGTTGGACCCTCTTGTTGGGCATGGAATGAGAGACATGTGGAAATGGCAGRATATTTGTCACCTCTTGCTCTGCTATCCTCAGGTGTGTGGTTTGGCAGACATAATGAATCAAAACTCTGAAGGGTATTTTCAAACCTTGCTGACTCACCACAATCCTTCTCTCAAAGCTGTCCCTTCCTCCTTTACCAGCCAGAACATGAAGAAGAACATGAGTACATGAAGAAACAAAATCAGATGGAACTGGCTGAAAAAAAAACCCCAGTAGCCCCAGGTAGGTGTTGATGGACATTCTCCATTGGCTGAAAGTTTCTTATCTATTTTCAAGGACACTTTTATTTTTAAAACTCGTTTCCATTGGACATGTACATGTGAAGTCARGCAGCAGATATAGAGCCTGGCTCAAGAATACCCACTGAGCTGCCTGATTTTCATTGTATACCATAATTATMGTAGCATACACTTCGGACTGACAGCATTTCTCAGCAGCATATAGCACTTTRGAAATATTAATCTCACATCAGCTATTTGTGTTGAATATTGGCTTATTCAGCAGGTGATGTGAGCCAATATTATCATACTTTTATAGACAGGAAAACAGAAAGAGAAAGAAAGATTAAATGACTCACCTAAGGTCAAGCAGTATGTCCAAGAGACAATTTATTTAAGCTTGGGGATTACTGCCTCCCAGTGATCGAGAAATGTCTGCAATATTTCTGAGAAATTAATGTATATGCTTCTATAATAAATTAGAATTTTTACTGGCTTAGGTTAGTCATTCACTAATGTGAGGGATGTTTTCATTGTATGGTGTTGCAAAAGCCAACAGACTCGGTGCTTTAGGCAGCCAGATCCTGCAAAATGTCACCATGTTCCTATGTGTGCAAATTCCATGGAGCTCAGTTCCTTAAAGGAGAGCTGAATCTTCAGCAGGTGATTAATATAAGCAGTGATTACCTTGTGATTTGGCAAAAATGGCCTAAGTTTTGACTCTTTTAACCTTGTCTCCTCATTATTCAGCATTTGCCACTCTGTGAGCTGAGAGGGGCTCCTACAGATGGGACTGTTTCCCAACTATGGGGATGGGCTACATGACGAGGAACAGAAGTTGTGTGTCCATGCAACTTGTACAGCATCAAGTCTCGAGGTAACAGCACCTCTTAAATTAAACACTGATGTTGTAGCAATTTTAGAAAACTAATTACCCCATAGACAGTTGAGTAAACTTCAGAAGAAAAAAGTTTACATTGAGAAATTGGCTAATAATAGGGATAATGTAATTGTACATAGGAGGGAAAAATGCCAAGCCTTTTGTTCCTGGACTTTCTTCTCTTGCATCATATTATGGATGCCATTCAAGGAACCAACCTCTGCAGAAGAGTTCTAAGTGTTAACTAATTATGTTTCAACAAAAATGAGCAGGATCTCAGATTTTACTTGGCTTGGATGTCTAAAGGCAAATTATAAGTTACGTAATAAAACAACAGAACCATTCAACGTTGATTTACTTGTTTATTTTGCTATAAGAAATGAAATTTTTATTGTAACGAAATTAAACAAAGGTTTATGTGCTTGTATTCCCCATAGCCCWTTATACAGTACTAATATAGTAATATTCATAAATCATATCAGAGTTTTCAAATTTCCTCAGCAGTGACCTAGGCAAGAAATGCTTAACAACTTGCTGAGAGACTTTGAAATTAAACTCAGCTGTAATATCATCATGACTAATTTATGGCAAGTTTGGTTGCTACAAAGATACATTTAAAGAAACTGAAGTATGTGGTGGGGATAAGATAAAACATGGGTTTAGTATCATGTAATTATTCCACTAGAAAGATTTATTCCACGTTTCATTACTTTATTGAACATGGCAAACCAGTGCGTTCCTTGGGAGAGAGGAAGCCTTAGATAATTAAACATGTAAATACTAAGCCTTAAACCAAGTAAAACAGGGAATGCACTAGATAAGAAATTAAACCTTTATAGCTGTTAAAGGAGTCTTCCTCTTTTGTTAATACAACAACATTCATGTAGACACATGGACTCTGTATATTAATGTGTATCTATAAATATGTACATGCTTATACGTGCATACAGCCTCCATTTTAGAACAGGCRTAATAGTAAAACATTATTTAGGGTAACACATACATTATCTGGTGCAATTGGAATCATGTTTCTGAATTGCCCAACATCCCTCAAGCTTATTTGCGTCCCACTGCAACTTTTGAACTTCCTGAAGGGCTCGTTATGGCAAATTGAGATTGATGACAAAGTGCAGCATTTTGAAATTATTAGAGGTATTTGTTTTTCCTTTAATTTCTTTTACCACACAATGAAAAGGATGAAAAATGATTCTTTTTTTCACGGTAATTACATGTCTGACTCCTCAAATTTTATGCWGGCAGAAAACTTCCTCTGAACTCTGCATGTGTTTGGACCCAGCTTATAAGAGTCYTGCTTTATCCCACTTCAGCATTGCCATCACCTCTTGTTGGAGATGTGGATTTTTAACCTGTCCTGGGTAAAACCAGTGGATCACTTCAGGTACAAGTTAAGCTAAAMTATTTCTTGGTGTACCTTTTCGTGTTCCTAGTGATGAACCCTTTAGGATAACTAATATCTGAAAGTGACCTTCTTCTGGACTTCTTGCCCTTACCAACCTCCTTTCACCTACACTGGAGAGTGTGAATGCACAGTGGAGGCACTAAAGGACGAAGCTGCCCAAGATCACCCTCTTCCCAGCCACTGTGTGGTGACATCTTGACATGRAGATGCAGTTTCCAGGAGCTCCTATGACAGACCTGAGGTCACCACATAACAATGACCCAGAGAACTGGCTTGGTGGCACACAGATGACTGAATAGGTGCCCTCCCAGTACTGCCCACACAGCTGCTGGTGAGCACAAAGTGAGTATTCAGTGTGTTCAATATGCCAGGGACATTAGTCACAGCTCATTCCATTGCACATGTCCATTGAGTGGAAGAACCACCGGGATTTCTGTAAATCCAGCATGGGAATTCACTCATCCCAGCCTCCAGCAACAKTGAATTACCCTGGTGCAGTTGGGAAGCATACATAGCCACAATGAGAAAGTACCGTGGTTTCCCAGAAAGTAATAGAGTGGTTATTGCTGATAGTTACTGCCTTTGTGAAACATTAACATGTGGTTGTAGTGCAGTCATGTAGCAAAATTATAGGGGCCTGTAGAATGTTACTTAGCAACACTTGCTAATGGTGAGGTGGTAATGAAGGAATGGAGAAAARGAAACACAGAGTATATTGGAGTCATAAAATAAGCTGTGGTGTGATGTGAGCAAGCTGTTCTRAAGATAAAGGTGTTGTCTCTTTCTTTTTTTTTGCCATGTGGATATGGTGGAAGAACTTAAGAGCTGATTTGAAGCAATGCATTTGAAATATCTAAGTAACAGAAACAAGCACGACATTTTTCATTTTTCTTTTATCATTGCTGCTGCTTGGGAAAAGTCTCAGAATTGCTTGGCTTTTGAAGGTCCTCTCCCATACTGAGGCACTAGCTGGCCAATTAAAACAATCTCTCCTTTGGAAAGCAAGCATTTGTCAGAGTTAAGAATGAAGGCTTTTTTCTACTACATCTATTGTCTCATTCATTCATTTACATAACTGCTCCARTGTTAATCAAGTGCCTGTAGGCATATCTCTAGGAAAGTATAAGGCCATAAAAAWAAAGGCAGACATATCTAGTTATAGATGAACCATCCACATGCTGCAGATCTGTTCTCAGACACTTATCTTGGTTTATCYCCACCTGTTTAAATTGGAAAACTCACAAAAATCCATCTCCTTAGAGATTTCCAAGGTTTCTTGATTTCATTTGGGTCAGAACTGACACAAAAAGATGCATTTCTCAGAGCACTTCTGAGCTGCTGCCAGGAACAGGGAGTGCTGGACTGTGCCACTAAAAAAAAAGAAATAAAAAGTTTTCTTTGAAAAGTCACCAAATTTTATAAGCTTGAAAAAATTGGCCTAGTTCAGTCTTGGGTATGATTAAAAGAGCTGCCCTGATTTATTGGTGTCAAACAAAGTATGTTTGGGTAGAACATTATTTTGTAATGGAAAAAGTGTCAGTGGAAGYGCTGCCTATCAGCACTGCCTGGGCTGGGTGAGGACTGAGCCTTAAACTGCATCTCTAAYGCTGGAGAAAAAGAAGACTATTCTAAAAAGGAAGACTGATTTACCKAGAAGGCCATCTCTAAGTCTTCCAGATAAAGGTGGGTGTGAACAAAGCTCAGCCTCTGGGGTTTTGCTGACTAAATTATCACAGAAGTCATGGAGTATACTGAGTTGAAAGTAACCCATCAGGACCATCTGATATTTGCCTGCTTTGCACTTCACCAAGGCCCTGCAAAGTAAAAGGAARCAAGTTTCTCATTCCCTCCCCACCAGGAATGCTAAGCCACGAATATAGAGTGATGGTTTGGGAAATGTTTCACAGAAGAAGCTTTCCATATGCATAAATTTAATAAAACAATAATATTCTCCAGTTGCTAACATATTTGCTTCCTGCTGTCCTTTAATTTTGCACTTTTTCTTTCTTTTCCCTTGTAAATGACAGAGTCATTTTATTTTGACTGTGTTCTTGTTCTTGCTCATTGTCCTATGCAGAGCTGGGGTAAGAGGCACTGGCACAAGGACGTGCCTACCAGGGACTGCCCAGAGACAAATGGAAAATTAAATGTAAGTGAAGCAGGGGAGCCAAGCCTGATGTTAACAACCCAGTCTGTTTCAGACATACTTGTCCCACCATCATCCTTCTGGAGTATTTTTAACAGARCCCTTGTGCAAAGGGAGACCTTACTAAGACGCCTACTCCTGCCCTTCCTAAAATCACCATGTTAATCTTTCTTCAAARCATGCAACTGAGGTGACTTTTGGCTTTAAATGTGATTTATGACCCTTTGAGATGCCGATGAGGTTATAGTTGAGGCCCTTAAACTGGACAAAATTAGTAGCAAATATAAATTTAATTTGGTGAATTTATGATAAAAATTATAGGGAAAAATAAGCACTTACAGGAAGACTCTACCATGAAAAATTATATTGGAATTAGCAGAGTCCTCAGCACCTATACACATTTCAAGCAGATGTTCTGCCTGTCCTACTTATCGGCAATTACTTTTGATCAAAATGCTCCAGACTTTAAAAAAGGTGGTACTCATTTTGTAGAGCTTGTTTCGGGTGAACAAAATTGTCCTCTGTCTTACGATGTTTAATGATTATTTGAAAGCAACTTGATGAATAGAAGAACGTGTACTCCCACTTGGGGCAAATGTATTTTTGGAGTGATTCATAATAATTAATCTTTGTCTAAGTGGAATGCATTAATTTCTCCTACTGATGATGACGGTACTTCTGTTTCTTTTCCTAAGTTAGATGGTTCTGCTCCAGAGGCATATTTGCTGATTAAATTGGACTGCGACCGGGTACTTAGGTTATGTCACTGTTACCCAAATGATCTTTTAAAGAACACAAAGTACTTGTTTTTGCTGCTCTTGCRTGCTCCACATTTAATCACGGATCTTTGTAGCTTGTTATTTCTAAAATTCAGATTACAGTGACTTAAAGGCCTCTCCATCCTTGCCAGTGCTCGGTGACATAAAATAAACCCGCCTATTTAGAAAAGAACCAMAAAACTTGTCAAGTTGCACTGAGGRATGGAAAGAAAAAGCAAGAATGCTTTACAGGGATCTGGAAAYGCCGTCTGCAGCGCAGCTATAAAGGGAAATGCTATAATAAGTTGATATTATCCATGTAGCCAGAACTTTGTTTCTGAGARCGCTGTTACCCGAGGCGGGGGTCCCTGTCGGGTGTGGGGTCCCAGGGCAGGGGTGAGACACAGACACAGCAGGAGAGGGTTCATGGCCTCAAGAACGTGCGAGTGTCACCGGGCAGCGGGAGAAGGAAGCGGAACAAAGCAGAGGCACAGATTCCCCACCAGCCTCCCGCTGCTCCTGGGCCACACCAGCCACCAAAGCCCCTCTGCTTGTCCCCACCTTGCTGGGGGCTGGCTGAGCCCCCCAGGCTGACTGTGCAGAGCCCAGTGTCCATTGCCATGTCCCTCCTGCCTCCTCCTCCTCCTCCTGGTCAGCGGGACGCAGACAGAGCTGGGACSGCCCCGCCGCTCCACGGACCCGAGCGCTCCAAGTTCCTTTTTTAGTAAAATCGCTTTGTCTCCACAGCTCTGTGGAGCAAAGCCCGCTCGGCCCGTGCCCCCCTCCTTGCTCTGAGCCTGCTGGAGGTGCCAGGATGAAATGCCAGAGATATTCCTCATCCCAGAGACGAAACACCCCAAACAGCCCGTACCCCATATCCCAGCCCAAAATGAGGTCTCCCCAGGACAAGCGGCCTGTCCTCCAGCCCCAGCAGGTCCCTCTCTGGCGAGGCCTGGTGGCAGCATTGCTCCTTTGTTCTTTTAAAACCTGGCATCTAAAGAATAGACAGAAACCAACAACTCTTTTTTGTTTTTTTTTTTTTTTTGGCCTGGGATAATAAATAGCTTGCGTGCAGCTGTAAAGCGCTGCGCTTGGGCAGGGTTTCACTGGCTGAGGGATGAAGGGCTCTGCACAGCGTCATTAGTTCCTTCCATAGCCCGTTTTCCTTTTCTCTGCTGCTCCTGCACAGCCCATGGTTGTGCTTGTAGGGCATGGCCAGGGTGCCAACAGAGGAAAATTACACCAAGTGGTGATGGGGACAAGTATCTGTCACTGAGTTTGGTTGTGCTCCATTCCCAGTTCTGATGCCTTCTGACAGGGCTTTGGCCCTAAGTCTTTGCCAGTGTTTGACCCCATGACTGATTTCCTCACTCAGACAGGAATGTCCTCCAGGTCAAATGATAATTTGGGATGGGGATGACTGACATCTAGCTGCACTCAGCGGAGATGGCCAAGGAAGGCAGAGTGAGGGGCTGGATAGGGACCCGAACAAGGTAAAAGGGGCCTTGGTTGGTCTGGGGGACTCAAGGAGATGCTGGGAGCTAATGAGTTGCTAACAAGGCTGGTAAGGAATATGTGGAGATAAATAAAGTGARAATTAAGCAGGAGAGGTGGTTGGAGACTGGGTGGGGATTCACAAGAACATAAACAGTGAATATGAAACAGGAATGGAATTAGGGTGAAGAGGACAARGCTGTCAAAGAGGTGAGATTGCCATGAGAGCAGGACATCTGGGGTTGCAGGTAAGAAGGGGCAGACTTACATCCAAAAGTTTAATGAACTGATGTTAGCTATCTGTTGCTTTCTTCAGTGGCTGTTGGGAGCTCAATGCTCCTGGTTCAGCTCTCAGCTTTGGAAAAGGATCTCTCCTTTTCCAGAGGCCAGAATATAGAGCAGGTGCCTGCACACACTGTCTGTGTGGCTGCATGAGAAGAGGCAGARTGACTCTGGTTTGGGGAAATCATGTGCTGCACAGTGATGCCATCCTTGGTGACATGGCAGGGTACTGCTGGGTGCTGAGGCAGGTTTGTATTTTTGTTTATATTTTGTTTATTAATTTCTCAATAAATGGTCTCCTGCCATGCTGGGTGCCTCTGCTCTAGTGCCAGATCCTGGAAGAAGCATGCAATCTTTTAGATTCCTCTTCTTRGGTGATGGGAGGTGAGTGTGGGACTTCAGGGCAAGGCAAGATGGTCCCATGATTAAGGACTCATGCATTTGAATGCCCTCCTGATGAACTGGGTTCAGTTTCCTCAGTTACCCAAACTAAACTCTTTCAGGATGATTGCTTCTGTGGTTTCGGCCAAGGACTGTGGTTTTTTTGCAGATGTTGCATATTCCCAGTTGAAACAGATATTAATGAGAGCTGAGTCTTACATGCACAGTGTAAAGACCCCTGTAAAGCCCACTAGACAGTTTGGACACCCCAAAAATGCTAAATATTTTAATTGTATTTTCATTGTTTTTCACCCCTCCCTATTCTCACAACATGTGATTTAGCTGCAGGAATACTTATGTTGGTTTTGGATGATCCACTAATGAGAAGTACAGAAAACCCATGAGGATATGAAAAATTTTCTCTTATGTGCTCAAGTAAAAGGCAGCAAGTAAGGCTTGGTGCAATGCAGTAAACAACAAGTAGAAAACCAAATGTAAAATCATTTAAATGCATCCTCCACTCTGTGCAAATGAGGGAGAGAAAATTCCTAGGAAAGTTTTGGGGAATTTAGCTGATCTTGCTGAACTCCAGTCAAGATGGTGTTTGTGTAAATCCTTGTACTTTTGTGTAGGTAAGGTCCCACATGAACCTCTAGTTTGACATTGGATCATATTTATTCTGACACAAGGTGCTGTGTTGCACTGTGAGTAAAACAGTCAGTTACTGACAGCATAACTTCTATGTKCCCTGAGGGATGGTGATGTTACTGGCCCATGCATTAGAGGCTGAAGATGGCTGTTCAGTTTCTACATCTCTGAACCCTGCTGGGAACCTGAACTGTTAACCTGAACGCTCATTTTTATGTGTTTTCTACTAAAACAGTTATAAAGCATCTCTGAATTCTTGCTTGTTTATAATAAAGGAAGAAAATACCYTGCAAAATGGGAGTTTAAAAAAGGGATTTTCTTAGTGACTTCAGCCCCTCATTAGAAGGTTTATGATCGGGCTTAGGGGAAGCTTTCCTTGAATTATTTTAAGGTTCTAATGATAAAAACCTTGGGGRRGTCATGCACATGGGGGATTTAATACCCATTCAGAACCATCTGGCATTAGATTACATGCAGGGAAAGAACAAAATCTGGCAGTAGTATTTATCTCCATTAACCCAGAGTACAGGCTGGTATTATTGTAGCAGAGAAAATACTCTCGCTCTTTTACCAGGAAGAGTTCTTAACAGACCTGGGCTAAATTGGCTTATAAAACCAAAGACTTCTTGAAGCGTGAATCTGCCCTCTCATTGAGTACTTTTGCTTTGGCTTTTAGTATGTATTTCACATCTCTTTAACTTTGACAACTAATATGTTAAGGTATAAAATATTGCTAGGATGAAGGGCTGTGTTTGCATCTCCTAACTTGCTCTGTGAGTGCAGTGTCAGTAATGAGAGCGTAATGCTAAAGCAGAGCCTGTTCCCATATTAYTCCTTCATCTTCTCAAGAGCATCACTGAGTGCACAGTCCCAGTGACATCCTCATCAAAAATCCCACAGATGTCAGTGGTGGCAGGTAACCTTCTCCCGAACCATTGCTCCAAGACCTACATGCTTAAATTTGGTGCAAACCCAGTTAAGAGAATGAACAATGCCAGAGGGATGATCCCTTCTCATCCAGATTAACTGCCTTTCACCCACTTGCTGGGCAGGCTCTCTTCAGCCTCCTGAACTGCACATTCCTTCTGCACCATTTTCAYCTCCATCAGGGTTCTCCATGGAGGGTTTCTGTTTGCCCTCCAAATTTTTCTCTCCTCTTCCCTCCTTTCCTTTCCTAGCTTGGTGCAGTCAGCTAGCTCCTCTTTCAGCTGATGTTATGATTCACTTGCTACATGGAAAGCAAAACCATATGGAAGACAAGATAAAGGCCATTTATCTCAAAGTCTACTGAGATGTGAACATCTCACGCTAAGGCTGCAGTTCAGCCAGGCTGTCTTGCACGTGTTGCTGTCATCTCTTCCCACCAGAAAAGAGATGGACTCCTGTGTCAGCCAAAACAATCTTCTTAGCTTGTCATCTGCTTCATGCTTAACATGGCATTGCGTGCAAAACATTGAAAGCAAAAAAGAAAAAAATGTTCTTGTTACGTTTTTTCCTWTTTTTCTGAGAAGCCACCTATGCCAGCTTTCCCTTTGAAGACTGCTGTCTGGTGAAGGAAATTGCTATCATCCTGAGAAAGGGCCAGGTTTGGTGAACACTACTTGCATCAGGCTCGGCAAAGGAAAGTTTGTTCTATATTCATTAATTAAATGCTTCTCCCTGAGTGGCTGAGAGAGGATCATAGAACAGTTTGGGCTGGAAGGAACCTAAAGATCATCGAGTTCCAATGCTGCTGCCATGGCTAGGGACACCTTCCACTAGACCAGGTTGCTCAAAGCCCWGTCCAGCYTGKCCTGGTRTTGTTATAATGATGATATTATTCAATTAATCGCTGCTTTAAGGAAGAGMGACCCAGCAGGGTGGTGTCCCATTGCTGCTGGCTGTGCAGCCAGGTGAGGGGCAGCAAGAACAGCTCATGGCCCAGGACACTGCTCTGAGGTGCCTCGGTGCCTCCTCAGCTGAGGAGGAGCTCAAACCCATAACCAGGTATTTAATGCTCCTTATCTGAAGCTGTCTCTCTGATTCCTCTCTGCAGGGAGCCCCACCAACAAAATGAAATGAYAGCTCATCTAGTGTGGGGTGAAAGCCTCCATCTTTCACACTTCTGGAGAATTAAGAGATAGGGCTCTGGTGGATGTCCTRCAGTGTCTGCTGGTACCTTTCTGCCTTCTTCCCTGGGATTTTAACACATCTGCTGATGGATTTATGCAGCAGTTGGAAACCAGAACCCAGGACAGCCTGTTCTCTGGCTTCATGTTATAAACATAAATAGACTCACACAGCCATTTGTATCTGGTTCTTTCGATCAGCACAAGGGTTTTATTACCTCTCTAAAATGTTCCTGAAGGGGAGCAAGAGACTGGTAACAAAAGGAAGCSCTGGAACAGGAACACAAAAGAGCAAAGGGCAGGAGGCTGCCATGAGTGCAGGCAAGCAAGAGCAGGCAATTAATGGCAGGTATCAAAGGGGCTGTTGGAAACCACCTGTTTTCCTATGAGGGCTCATCTTTTGAGTAGGAGTTGCCWTTGGATTACATCAGGGTCACTCTGRTCTGAAGTACATTTTTAATAGGGAGAAAACTTTTTCCCATCTCCAGTTTTGAACTTTGCAGAATGAGTTTGCAAAGTTAATGACAGGCCTTTAAATTAGCTCGTGTTGTGGAGCAGTGAAGCGAGTAATGTGGAAAAAAGATGCAAGCAATTATGTTTTAAATAAACACCCACCGTGTTATTAGAAACTACCTGAAAAGAGACTTGAGCAGTGTAAAATGCATCTTTCAAACAAGTTATCCCAGCTGTCCTGTGTGAGAAACTSAATCAGAGG